TTAGCACCGCTGCCAAACTATTATGGCAGAAGCACGAGTACGACGAGTACTACCACAAGGACCACTACTGCTGCGACGACTACTCCTACTACTACTACTACTACTACTACTACTACTACTACCAGGACTACTAGGACTACTACTACTACTACTACTACTACTACTACTACTACGACTAATAGTAGTAGTAGTAGTAGTAGTAGTAGTACTACTACTACTACTACTACTACTACTACTACGACTACTACGAGGACTACTACTACTACTACTACTACTACTACTACTAAAGGTTTTCCAGCTCAAAGACCCCCCCAAGTTTGAGGGCGTGTGTAGCTTGACGTGCTATGGCCGGCATGCGACGAATGCTTCTTCTTCTCTGTCTTGTTGCTTGTGATGCCTGCCTTCAGATCTGCAGCGCAAAAGGCGAGACCAGCCACCACATTGTTTACCAGCCTAGTTCGCACCCGCTTTGCGTGATCGAGGATCGGGGACTCTGGGTTATAGATGGCATGATGCCACAGCAAGCAATGACAGCATCTACCATTGCATGTGCTTCGCACGCCGAGCTGCTGCTACCTCGCCGCATGCGGAAGGCTACCGCCACACATGCAGTCGTTGATGTGCCCTGTACTGCTCCACATTTTCTGAGCCCAAAGTCATTGGTGCTAGAGATTGCGGTGGTGCCCAGCCGACACGATAGCTTGCCAACACATCACAACTGCGCTGCATCATGCTGGGTAGCGCGACCGGAGGACGATGCCTGGCTGATGGTTGGATCCTCGCCGGGTGCTCGGCCCCTGCACCTGCTCACTAGGGGCGTGCACCCATGCTGCCAGGAGTTCGCGATGACCGAAGGCATTTCTGCATGCTGTGCTACGCTGGGTGTGACTGGCACTCAGCTGCCAAGCGCTCGGCGGAACGATCGTAGTGAGGCCTGCTCCTTCGTGCCACGATTTACTTCCCACAGGCATTGGACTGACTTCTCGCGACGGGTGCAGACTGCAGTTTTCTTCCATGTGCAGGCGGTGTCCGGGATCTGGAGGTGCAGACCTCTCCTGAGACCACCAGCACCGAACAGTGTAGCCCGTAGGAGAGCCAGTGAATCTCGCCGAGGTCGTACTCGGCCACAGTTGCGGGCGACCTTGATCGAGGTTGTGCGGCAGGCGAGCAGCACTAGGGTCGATAGGCCAACCCCGTCTCCTGATCTGTGTCGTGGTGTTATGGTAGTTTGCGCTGCGCTGCAGCATTTTACACTCGCAGGGTCGAGCGCTTCGCTTCGTGATGGTTTAATCCCACCAGCGCTACACCAGCATAGGCCATGGACCATGCATTGCTCTTCAGACTGCCTCTTGCTCCCCGGGGTTACTTTCTCCTTTGGCTGCCCCTGCATAATCCCTAGTCCCCTTTTCGTTGCATGCCCAAGACACTTTGCGGCCATGGGGAAATCCTCCGCTTCTCGCAGGCGCCAGGGCGAGCGCCTTGGACGACGGGAAAGGCATGAACAGGAACAGGAACAGCACGGTGTCCGCAACTGGGGACAGCAGGAACAGCCGGCCTGGCAGAGCCAGTCATGGGAAGAATGGGGCTGGTGGCCACAACACCAGTCCGCAAGCTGGGATTGGTCTGACAACACGACTGGGCATGGCAGTGAGGCTCCCCACGCGGAGCACTCGCACACCACCTACAATCCGGATGCACACCAGCCGGCTGAAGTGCATGTGAACAGCTTGACGCTGACTGTACTGCCCACAGAGGATGAGGACTCTCCTCTGGAAGCAAGCCTTGAGCACGGTGCGGAGCCTGTGGAGTCAAGCGACAGTGTAAGCCATGCTCTTTTGCCTACTGCTCCTGTAAATCCTCCCGCTGGAAGCGGTGCAGGTGTGGATAGTGCTCCTGTAAATCCTCCCGCTGGAAGCGGTGCAGGTGTGGATAGTGTTCCAGAGATAAACTTGGCCTCCTCTTCGTCTTCTAGCTCGGAACTACGACCGAGTAGCAGTGCAGCCAACAGAGCTGGCCGCCCGCCAACTCCACCTGCGCCACTTCGGAGGACCAGACGCCGCTTGACGGCTGCTGTGTCTAGCTCTTCGTCTGAGCTGGTGCCAGATGGACAGCCCTTCCCACCATTGCCGACAGGTCAGGGCCCTGACGAGGGAAGGCTGGACTACCTAAGGCGCTGCCTGCAGCAGGCCCTTGTCGCCTCGCCGCATCCGTCAGCAGCATGGGCACGAGAGAAGTGGGGTGGACCGGATCAAAACAAGTGCTCGTCGTTTCATTCCAATGCCCAGAAGCCACTGCCTAGCTCTGTTGTGAGAGGCCCTACCTGTCTGAGTTTGGAACGGCAGGGGTTGCAAAGTGACGCTGTGACTGACTGTTTGACAGGTGGCGGTGACGGCGACAGGCCATGCCGAATAGCCCAGGTAGCTGTCGCTACTCACCCTGTGCCTCCGGAGTTGCCTAGCAACAAGCCACGGGCATCATGGGGTGTAGGTCTCTTCGTTGCTCTCCTTGGCAGGTGCTTTCTGGCTTCGCTCGGCTGGTGGAGGCCACGGCGCAGGGTTGTTAGGCTTACCGTCCGGGCTCTCCCAGGACAGTATGTTCGCCGAACGTTTGTGCTGGACTGTTGTTTGCACCGTTTGCGCCGTTTCCCGATAGGGCGCGTTCACCATCGCACCGCACGCACAGCGTCGCAGCAGACTTCTTCTACTTGCAGCTTTGAACATTTACGATATAGCACACACAAGCTACACACACCCCTCCCACATAAATACCGAGCTGGCCGGGGTCCCAATTCCCTGGGCAGTGTTTGGCGACTCCCCCTACTGTGCATTTTACTGCTGTCTTCCTTCGGCACAGGGAGTACCGCCGCCACTGCAAAACCGAGGGTTGTCGAGCCTGCCGCCTCGACGGTACCTGCTTCGGCGGGGAAAGCAGGCATTGAAGCCGGCCCCCGAGTCACATTTAGCTTCGCTGCCAAGCGTGCCTACCGCAGAGCACGCAATCGTGCCCATTTACATGGGCAAACATATTACAGGGGAGCTCTACACACTGCGGAAACATTGAATGCACTCCAGGGTGAGAGGCTGCCGCTCAGGCGGCGCCCGCGTACCACTTCATGTCATGACAGCCGGCGTCGGTTGAATCTTCTCAGCTACAATTGCGGGGGTTTTACTTCTGCGGCGTGGGCTGAGTTCACACACTGGCTGGACTCTCAAGCCTATGATGTTGTAGTCGTCCAAGAAACCCACTGGCAATCCGACGGGTGTTTCACCTTGCCTCGGTGGTACTGTGTCACTGCTGCTGCGCCCCCGGACGACAAATACTCGGGTATTCTTGTCATGGTAGCGTCCAAATTGGCCCGCTCAGAACATGTTAGATACGCAGTGCTACACCCGGGGCGCTTGCTACATGTGAAGATAGGCGGCCTAACTGTCACTCATTCATCTATTGATGTGTTGGGCGTGTACCAGTACGTCTGGCGCAGCACGGCCACCAAGGCTGAAAACCTTGCCAATCGGGCTGTCATTTGGAGCCGGCTGGACAAGACTGCAACAAAGCTCCCTGCGAGAAACACCCGCTTAGTGGTGGGTGACCTGAACACCCGTCCACTGCCTGGCCTAGGTATTGAGTCCCGGCATTTGTCACACTCTGGACCGCAGGATGCGGATGCTTCGAAGTTTCGTTCCTTCATCGATGCCGCGAGTCTCATGCCCCTTAACACCTGGTCAGGCCCCAAAGCTTTCACGCACCAGCATGCGGGACATCGCACTATCATTGACTACATAATGGTAGATAAAGACTTAGCTGATATGCAGGCGCGCCGCAGCGCTCCGGTGCACCACTGCCCCCTAGCATCCTGGAAGGACAGCAAACATTGGCCCGTTGCTGCCAGTGTAAGACTACGTCAGGCCTGGATGCATAGGCGAGCACGTGACACGCGATCCATTGATGTCCAGTCCTTGAGGTATGCTGTTCGGCATGACACGCCACAGGCTACGCAACTACAGGCCATTGTTGATCGTAAGTTGCGCACATTGGCCGTACCGACCACGGCGGACCAGTTACATGCTGCGATCAATACCTGCCTCACGCAGGCTTGCGCCGAAGTCTTCCCGCTCAGGGCTAAGCAGCCTACCGATGCGCCTCACCAGCAAGCCCTTAAGCGCGACATTAGCATCAGCTTGCAATCGCTGTGGGCTGCTCGGAGGGCGCTCCGCGAAGCCAAAATGTACACCGCGCGAGCGCTTACAGCGCGTGTGGACTTGCCTACAACTTCGGATGCTGGTGAGGATGCTGGCGCTGCACGGCAACCTTATCGTTTCCTGCTTAGATCGGTCATCAACCAGTGGAGAGCGGAAACACAATGCCGACGCATTACCACACAGCTTCACAAGCAAAGTCGTCAACGACGGCATGCTCGCTGGCGGGATATAGCTTCGCAGGTACAGGAGGCCGATAAAGGTCGTGACTCTCAAGCCCTGCACGCCGCCTTAAAGCAATTACAACCTTGGAAGCCGCGCACCAGGATTCAGTTTAGGGATGGGCAAGGAATGCTCCTTTCGCCGCACGCAGAACTTGACACACTCAAGCGGCATTGCCAATCTGTGTTCGCAGTCCACGCCGAACCTCCACCCCCTGCTACGTTCCAGCAGGGAACAGCGCCGACTGCTGATGAACTTGCGCATGCCATTAGTGAAACTGGGGTAAACAAAGCTGTCCCGTCTGATTGTGCGCCGGCGGCAGTGTGGCGGCTCGCTGCTGGTGGCGTTGCTCAACTTCTGTCGTGCTTCCTTGAGGGCAGCTGGATCGAAGGGGCTAGGGTGGACCTAGCCGGTGGGTGGAGGGATACGGAGATGGCGTTCATCCCTAAACCCTCGAAGCCCCCCACACAGCCACAGAACCTGCGCCCGTTGGGGCTGATTTCCCCGCCAGGAAAAGCCATCGCTGCGTGGGTCAAAAGACGACTGGAGGAGTTCCTTGCTCCAGTGATCCTCACACTACCGCAATTTGCGTACACGGCTGGGAGATCCACCTTGGACTGCTTACTGCGCGTGCAAGCACACTTTCACTCCACGCGCAAGCTTATCTCCTCGATGACGCCCTCCATCTATCAACGCCGAGAAGGCGCGAAGTCAGCACCATGCTATGGTGGCCTGACACTATCTGTGGACCTCCGTGGCGCGTTCAATGAAGTACCGCGTGACAAGCTTTACCAGTGCTTGCAGTTGCTGCAGGTCGATGCTGACCTGCTAACCATCATCCAACATCTGCACTGGCAGTCTCGCTACTTCGTACACAACGCTTCGGGTCGCACTTCTGTCACGTCGTCAAATGGAATCAAACAGGGGTGTCGGCTTGCGCCGTCATTGTGGCTAGGGTACACCGTAGTGCTGCTGTGGTCCATCCGTGATGTGCTTGGTGAAGACTACATGCGTGCCTGTGTAACGTTGTTCGCCGATGACCTCCTCAGCTCGCAACAATTCACCACATGGTCTGAGGCCATGCAGTGCATTCACAACATACAGGTCGTCCTCACCCTACTGGAGACGATGGGCATGAAAATTAATTTTGACAAAACGGCGGTGCTACTAGCGGCGAGCGGCCCTCTCCACCGGAAGCTGCGGCGCAGGCTTATTGTAAAGAAGCACAACAAGCCACATGTGTCACTGCAAGTTAGCGGACGTACTGTCTTGATCCCTCTAGTCTCCTCGCACACATACCTGGGTACCAAGATCTCTTATCGCAATGCCCCCGAACTTACAGTCCAGCACCGGCTTTGTACTTCGGGCCGGAAGTGGCAGCAGGTCAAGCGGGCGCTTCGTAGGAAAGACATGCTCACTAGACGCAAGCGAGTCCAATTGTGGCAATCCAGCGTTAGGGCTAGCCTGCTATATGGCCTGTCCAGTGTTCCGCTAGGGTTCAACAGCCGCCAAGAAATTCGGGGCAAGACGTGTCGCCAGCTACGCAGCCTTGCACACCTGCCGGTACACATCACGGGTATCAACAACACTAATCTTCTCAGCTTACTTGCGACTGCGGACCCTGTGCAGGTAGCAGCAGATGCGCTGGACAAGAGACTTCAACAACTTCAGGACATTGAGTGCAGTCAGCCTAGCAACATTGTCTGTTTTCCGTGTACCCTCGACTATGCGCGAGAGCTCCTACAGCACCATCGTAGTCAGCTGCAGACGGAGCAGGCCACCCAATGCGTAGCGGCTGCTGACTTAGCCACCGGCTACTCCAAGGCCTGCCCAGATTGCGGGGTCTACTTTGCCTCCGCTAAGGCCGTGCGAACTCACAGGGCGCGAGCTCATGGAGTACACACAGTCGAGCAGCCGCTGACCCAGCTTGAGGTTGCTTCGCAGACCATTGGGGGTATGCCACAGTGCAGCAGATGCCGCACCAAATTTAAAAGTTGGCATTATCTGCGTAAACACATCCGGCGCGCAGTGTGTGTGCCTTTCGAACCCAGTCTCCCTTCGGAACCGTTGGGTGCTGACAGGACAGCTGCAGAAGCAACGGCTGTGCTTGACCCGACCTCAACTACGCCAGTGCAAACTGAGGTGTGTGTTGAAGACTGCTTGACCAGATCTTTTAGCCAACTGCAGCATGCGCTGGAGCTACTGGTCTCTCCACAGCACTGGGCTCGAGCTGCTAGGCTGGCTGAAGCGAGACCCCTCCTTGCGCAGACCTGTGGCGTCTGTGGCCAGTGGTGCTCTAACTCAGGCGGGGTAAAGCGCCACATTGCCAGCCTTCATAAGGATGTCTATCAGCATCATGTTAAAGCTCTAGAGCTGTGTGCAGGAAAAGGGCATCTCTTCTTCAGACAACATCCTTGTGATTTCTGCGGCCTGAAGGTTGCACTGCCGTCTCGACATAAAACTACCTGCTCAGTACTGTACCAGTGCGCCTTGCTGCATCGCCACCTGCAACGCAGGACCCCTGCAGAGCACGATGATGGCGGGTATGAGCGAGGAGATGCAAGAGATCTTCGGCACTTCTTTGCCCAGCCTCATGACGAGCCGACCACCCCAAGCCTCAACTGGCCTGCAACCGCTCCACCCCAAACGACAGCGACAGGAGTCACAAGGCGGAGGTCGCCCGCGCCAGCTGCGGCCCGGGACGAGCCGCGAGCAAGCCAGCCTGCAGGAACAGGTAACCCAACTGGCACGTGTGGTGATGAAGCACGAAGACCAAATCAACACCGCCAAGTTGGACAGGGGCTTCGTTTTCTTCCTGCACAACGGCGAGGGGAGCATCCTGCAGAATCTGTTCGATATCAGCCAGAGGACGAGGAAAGCGTACGACAACGGCCAGATGCTGGAAAACCCCTTGCGAATCCTGCTGCTGAAGGCGCTCTTTGTGGAGTTAGAGGGTCGTTTGAAGATCCTGGACAAAGATCCGCAGGCCTTGGAGAACTCCAAGCAGAAAGGCCTTCTGGGAGACCAGGGCTGGTTCTACAAGCGCTGGGACCGCAAGACCAGGAAGCTCGTCGACGATCCGCAGCGCTCACCGCTCCCGTCCGCGGAAATGGCAACGCTGCTGATGGACATGTTCCGGCTTCTGAATGCCACCACCGTGCTGAAGTTTGGAGCCAGCCGCGGCATTCACGAGGAAGCGCTGGAGGACCCGGATTCAACAACTGTCTTCTTGATGGAGATTTCGCTGAGAGGACAGGAAGCAGATGCTCTGCATCAGCACTTTGCCCGACTGGCAGGGAATGCGGTGTGGCATCTGTTAGGGATTCAGGTGAAGCGGGACACTCTTCGCCGCTCGGGGCAAGCGAGGAGGTTGGGAGAGATGGCTCTGGGTTGGACAGACTCCGGCCGCACAAACTAAACCCTCCTGCCTCGGGCAGTCGAGGTGCAAAACGTGATGATCACAGGGTAAATCCTCCTGCAGTTTGCAGTGCAGGTGCCTCTGACGCGTCAAGGCGGGATCTGACAACACACATCCTAAACATCAGACTCTGCAACCCGCACAATCTTTGCTATATGAACAGCACCTTCACTGCTGTAGTCTGGAGTCTTCATTGTGCGAGCATGCCACTGCCACGAAGCTTGTCACAGATATTGCACGGCTCAACGGCTAACTTGCTGCAGGCGCTCAGTTTTCAACTGATGGGCTGGGCAAGGCCCAGAGAACAGCATGATGCGTGCGAGTTTTGCTCGCACTTTGTTTCCAGACTGGGGTTGTGCAGTGCTCTTGCTAGGTGGCATGGCATCATGTATGAGGGGGACCGTGCTCATGTGCACGACTCAGGACCGGGCCAGGCAGTTCCGATGACATTCCCACGGGACGCTCCAAACATCCCCACACTCCAACATTTTGCATATGCATGGCGCCATCAAGAGCACGAGTATTGCTTGCTTGCTCCTGCATTCACATATTTGCAGCTTCCGCGCTTTCAGGTGCGAGCTGATGGCACTGTCACCAAGCATCACTTCTGCTTGGCTTTGCGTGAGCGCTCACACCAGCGTCTCACACTGCCGTGTCAAACTGGGGCCGAGGTAACATGGGTACCGTTTATGTTAGCGTCAGTCATTTACCACCTTGGTCTCACTGTCACTTCCGGTCATTATGTTACCTTGCTTTTTCACGACGGGGTGACGTACGTGAAAGGGGATCATGAGCAGGCTCGCAGAGCGACCGAGAAAGACATCGATTGTGCTGAATGTAATGCCTATCTGGCTTTTGTGGTGCCTGCTCGGGACGGCCACAGTGCTACCGAGGACAGGCTGCACTAGGAGCGCGCCCCTGCTGCTGGCTCAGAAGGATCGTTGCAGCTGCCGCACAGCCTGCTCACTGCCCCAGGCCTGTGGCGCTCCGGCCCTGCTACGTCATGGAATGAGGTGACCTCGCCGTGGCGCTGAGTTACAGTTGCGTCGTGGATTGAGGTGACCTCGCCGTGGCCAGCTACTCCAGTTCTTAATTTTGACACATGCTTCCGGAGAAGCCGCAGTG